TATTCTCTCGCCTCCTTTCTGACAACTTGCAGAGTGTCCCTGCCAGCCACTGCCCTGTGAGAATACAGGGGTTCTAAATGCTGCCAGGAGTGCGGTTCTTGCTGGCATCATGCCATCATGTCCTGTGATTTTCTTACTTCTTTTTTTTAAAAAAATATTTTATTTATTTATTTGACAGGCAGAGATCACAAGTAGGCAGAGAGCAAGTAGAGGCAGAGGGGAAAGCAGGCTCCCTGCTAAGCAGAGAACCCAATGCGGGGCTCGATGCCAAGACCCTCAGATCATGACCTGAGCTGAAGGCAGAGGCTTAGTCCACTGATTTTCTTATTTCTTCCGCTTGCTCTGTACATGAAGGTTTTTTCCTAGTGCACTAGAAACTGGTTTGCTTTTGAAGCTTTCTCTTGTGAAGCAGGGGTTGTGTGTGCGCGTGCATGCGTGTGTGTGTGTGCGTGCGTGTGTAGGCACGGGTCGGGAGGACAGTGACCCCTCATGCATCAGTTCCTCGTTAGCATGGAGACTTGCAGACTCAGATCTGTTGCAGGGATCCATATGACAAGAAATCTTTCGTTTATTTATTTACCTAATTTAATAAAAAAAGATTGGAGAGAGAGAGCAGAGCGGGGAGGGACAGAGGAAGAGGAAGAGAGAAACTCTAAGCAGACTCAGAGCAGAGTGCGGAGCCTGATGCAGGGCTCTGTCTCCCAACCCTAAGATCACAACCTGAGCCAAAACCAAGAGTTGGGGACTTCACCAACTGTGTCTCCCCAGTGTCCCTAAATTTTTTTTTAAGTAATCTCTACACCCAGTGTGGGGCTCAAACTCACAACTTTGAGATCAAGAGCCACGTGCTCTACTGACTGAACCAGTCAGGTGCCCTGAGAAATTTTTCATTTAAATGAGGTAAGACGTGTGAAAGGTCTCAGCAAAGTACCGAAAACACAACAGGTGCTCCATAAAAATTCTCAACCAGATTTCAGTCTGAGTGTCTGCATCGTAGATTGTCTGTATATTTTCTATTTCCCTCTATGGGTATGAAGGATTGAGGATGGTTCTTAATTTTTAGAGCGCTACTTTCTAAGAGTGATTTGCTTCTTTCTAAAGCTATTTCTCGGTATTACAGAGTACATTTCTTTGCTGTTGTACATACAATGTGAAAGTCCAGTTTTGTAGAATTAATTTAATCTGATACATGAGTTAGAAAAGAACAGGCCCAGTTCTTTGAGAAAAGTCCCATTTTTCTGGGGCACTTGGGTGGCTCATTCATTAAGTGTCTGCCTTTGGCTCAGGTCATAGTCCCAGGGTCCTGGGTTCGAGCACCATGTCAGACTCCCTACTCGGCAGGAAGCCTGCTTTTCCCTCTTCCATTCCCCCTGCTTGGGTTTCTTCTCTCTCTCTCTCTCTCTCTCTCTCTCTCTGTCAAATAAATAAATAAATAATCTTTTTTTTTTTTAATTTTTTTTAAAGATTTCATTAATTTATTTGACAGAGATCACAAGCAGGCAGAGAGAGAGGAGAAAGCAGGTCCCCCGCGGAGCAGAGAGCCTGATGTGGGGCTCAATCCCAGAACCCTGAGACCATGACCTGAGCAAAGGTAGAGGCTTTAACCAACTGAACCACCCAGGCACCTCCAATAAATAAAAAATCTTAAAAAAAAAAAAAGTCCCATTTTTCTATCTTGTTTTTAATGTAGTAAAATATTTCCAAATATAAGTAACAGTTCAAAATGACGTGAGAATATAATGAACCATGAAAGTAGATTATTCTTTTTAGAAGTAATACAGAGAAAATATTGTTGTGGCTTTAAATGGTTGATTTTGACTGGGTTGGCCATTGGTCACTGTACTAATTAGTTTATGGTCTGATATTTTTCATTGTCTTACTGACCTGTTTTGGGACAGAGTGATACAGTTAAAAAAAAAAAAAAAGAGTGGTTTGAGGCAAAATAGTACATTTCAAGCCCAGTGTAGGAGTCTGGGAGACCCCAAATAATATTCCAGAAGTAGCTCTGCTCCCTTCCTCTTACCCTGTTCTCCACGACAAGGTGATGCCCACTGGGCACTTAGTCACATGAAATCCCTTGTTCTCTGAGGGCACGAGCCTCTCATTGCTGAGCGCTTTCCCTACAAGCAACTGCAGCCAAGCAGAGCCCTGCCCGCCCGCCTGGCCTGCATCAGCTCTTCACTCCCTTGGCTTAAGGCCTATAGACGGCAGTGAAAATGTTAAGGACTTCGGGAAAGGTGACACATTTAAGCCGCATCCCGTATTAAGTTCACCAGGTCCTTTCCTGAGAACAGATACGGATGGGACGAGGGGGAGCCATTACTAAGTGGCTCAAGGTCTCAGAACCCAGCAGCGGGTTTGCCAAGAGCCAACCTCACACCCAAGTCGTTCTTGGCCGTGGCCATGTGGATCTGCAGTTCGTGTAGTTGCCACGGAAGAGTGGCCACCTCTCGTCCCCTACTTCTAGAAATGGTCATTTCCCTAGGAGTAGGTGGCAAAGAGAACGGGGATGAACGGGGCAGGCGAAGATACCCACGGATGCCGGCACTGTGAACATGGGCAGAGGAGGACTGTGCAGATCTGTTCCTGGGCCTCGCCCGGCCTTCAGCTCAGAGCTGGAAGCCGGCACGGTCAGAGCCCACACCTGTCTGCTTGGTGTAGAGCCTCTTCGGCCCCTCTTTAACCCATGCCGTTCTTCATTTATTGAAGGCTTCAGTTGGAATGAGCCAGGCCCAAAGATTTACCTTTGGAGGAGAGAGATGAAGTTCTGGTAAGATTTCCTAGGTGTCTGTGAACCTGCTTGGGGCTGAGCTGTCTCCGTCCACCTGTGGCTGGTATTTCCCGAAGCGACTGAATTCTTCTCTTCCCATTTAGAAGTTTAACTGTTCGTCTGGGGCCTCATGTTGGGATTTGAAAGCCACACGTTTCTGCTGCTTCTCATTTCTCTAGGTCACTTTTCTGTTGCAAAGCCATCTTTCTCATCAGGTGGTGCAAGCCTCCCCAAGCTGTTCTCCCCATTCCCCTCCCCTGCTCGGTGGAGTGTGTGTGCCGTGGCGACGCCAGCCCCCCACATGTGGACGGCTCTGGAGAGTTTTCAGAGCAGATTTGCATATATCCCTGCATCCCTTGATGTCGTCCTGGGCTGTTGCTTCTGCCCTGAGTGTTTACTCACCGTTCTCACCCACTGGACTACTTTTCTTTCTTTCTCTGCCTATCAGTTTTGAGGATGCTAATACAGGGTTTGCTTTTTTCTCCTTTTATATTTTTTCCCCCGGGGGCTGTCAGTGGCAAAGGAACAAAGCCCGTACACGTGATGCTGTTTTCCGATGGCAAAGTGAAGATGACCTCAATGCTCTCTATAAGTCATCCCTGAGAGTTACGTTCCAGTCCCTCAGGCTCACACTGTCCGCAGAAGTTCTGGAAACGGCGTATCTTAATGATGACACCTGCCCCCTTGGGTTGAATTGACCGGAACATCTAGAATGGGAGGAAAGTGTGCAAGTTACGTCCATAGAGTAGTTTTGTGATTTTGGTTTCTTTCTTTGCTTCCTTTTGTTTTGTTTTGCTTCGTGTTTTTGTATGGACATGATTCATCCCCCCAACCCATGGAGAAATAGTAACTTTTCCTCTGTATTTTTGTGTTCTCGGAATTTGGTTGCGTAGCCCATTGCTTATGGAATAGAAGACTCTGAGCTTAAAGCCTATCTATAAGATGGTTCTGACACGGTTTAAAAGGTTTTCTTTAGAGCCTTTTAAAGACTCCTTTAAGGTTCCCTGAGTCCAGCCAAATCATCCCCTGAACTCACTTCTCATTAACCTTCCCATCCCATTTCTGGTCTCCATGGTTCCAGATCTGTCTCCCTGTGGCTTCTAGACAGTTCAGCAAACATCAGGTGCCTGTCGTGCCTCAGGCACTGTTCTGGGGGCTGGAGACGCAGGAGTGAACTGACGGAGAAAATCATACTCATGGATAGCTGTGTCTCTTGGGGTCAGAAGACAAGCCAAGTGAGTCTTCTGCATGGAAGCCCTACAGACACTTGGAAACTGAACTCCCGGTCCTCCAGGTCTTCACTTCAAGCTCGTGCTCCCAGTTTACCAGTGAAATACAGCTCAGGTCCTTTCACCACAGGGACCGGTTATCTTTGGATGCATTCTACTTTTGATTGATACCGAATTGATTTTTAATAGATTGATTTTTTTTTTTTTTTGGAAGATTTTTGTTGTGGTTATAAAGGCAAATGCACTCGGAGATGTTTTGGAAACTACAGATAAGTATAAAACAGGAAATCACCTATCATCCCATTACCCTTTGTTAAAATATTGGTCTGTTTCCTTTTAGTCTTTTCTAACTTGTATTTGTCATTTTGTGGGGTTTTTTTTCTACTTATCATTGGCATTTTTGCACTCATTATATTCATAGAAATCATTCAAGTGGTTACATAATTTTCCAGACCAATTTTTATCCTTTTTTTTTAAAGTAGAATCTCTGTGCCCAGCGTGGGGCTGGTACTCAGGACCCCAAGATCAAGAATCTCCTGCTCTACTGACTGAGCCAGCCAGGCGCCCCTCCAGACAGACTTTTAAAGGTTAAGTCCTAAAAGACTAGTAAGGAGCCCTTAAGTGAGCTGCACTGCTTCCTTTTCCTGACGTCTCCAGCCTCCTGACCCCACTACCCTCTGAGTAATACTCGGGCTCCGTGGAAGGAAGGTGCGGGACTCTATTACCTATTTCCTGTGGATTCTTCTGACTTGGATTATTGTCGATACGCTGCTTTTCCTTCTTCCCCCTGTTCATTCTTTTGTGTTTCCTCATGATCGTGCTCTGCCCGTCTGTGGGGAGTGTGGCATTGACCGTGGCTTTCTCGTTACAGCAAGATTTCCAGGGCCACCTTCAAGGCTGTCTTCTGCTGGGTTCAGTCTTGAGGAGTTGGCTGGAAGCAGTTCTCCCGGCGGGACTGGCCAGTGGCCAGCACGGAGCTCACTCTTGTCCTTCGATTGCAGGCCTGCAGCTGAACCAGAAGGCGCTCACCACCTTCCCCGATGTGGTGCTCGTGCGGGTGCCCACCCCCTCAGTGCAGTCGGACAGTGACATCACGGTCCTGCGCCACCTGGAGAAGCTGGGCTGCCGCCTAGTCAACCGCCCGCAGAGCATTTTGAACTGCGTCAACAAGTTCTGGACGTTCCAGGAGCTGGCTGGCCACGGGGTTCCCATGCCAGACACCTTCTCATACGGTGCGTGTCCTTGGGATTGGAACGGACCTTCCCAAACCATCCTGCCTCTCTTGCTTTTCTCTCCCCAAAAGCCCTCTAGGGTCTTGTTGATTTGTAGCAGGAATTGGCTCATCTTGGGATTCAGCGTCTCAAGTCCTTAACATGGTTGCTCCCTCTGTCTTTAACTCACCGAGGCTCTGTGTGTGTGGGGTACGCACCATGTGCCCGGTGCCATGCGAGGTGCTGGGCTAGGGCGGTAAGTGACAGTGTCCTGCCCTGGAGGCGCTCCCCACTCATCAGAGCCCGGGGTTGGGGGTGGTCAGTGAACAAACAGGCAGTGTCAGGGCAGTAAGTGCCATGATGCGTTAGTGCAAGGTGTTACGGGATATATGGACCGTATATACCATATATACAGTATATATCCTGCATATACATATGTGTGGGATATATGCAGCTTCGGAGACATCGAGGGAGGCTTCCTCAGAGAGAATAGCAAAGCTCAGCTGAAGTTATCCCGGGGAAGCAGCGGGGACAGGGGGGTAACCCAAGCAGAGAGTGGAATGTAGATCAACCTAGAGTCAAGTGAGAACGTGACTGATGCGTGGTATTTTTTTTTTTTTTTTAAAGATTTTACTTATTTATTTGACAGACAGAGATCACAAGCAGGCAGAGAGGCAGGCAGAGAGAGGAAGAAACAGGCTCCCTGGTGAGCAGAGAACCCGATGCGGGGCTCGATCCCAGGACTCTGAGATCATGACCTGAGTTGAAGGCAGAGGCTTTAACCACTGAGCCACCCAGGCACCCCAGATGGGTGGTATTTTGAGTAGTTTGTAGATAGAAGGGAGATGGAGCCGAGATGTAAGAGGAGCTTATATGGTGTGTGAAGTAGATAGGGCAAATCCAGAGACTTCCAGAGTGGTGGCCTGATCAGAGTGCAGGATATCGCTTTGGCTGCCCAACGAAGAAGGAATCAGATGGGGCGGAGTGGAGACAAAGTATGTGGTGGCAGGCTTTTTAAGCTGTCCAAGTGAGCCATGACAGTCTTAACTGGGGGGGTGGGGGTGTGCATAGTCAGGATGAAGATAAGTGAAGAGATCCAGGAATTACAAAGGAGATCGCAGTAACAGGACGTGAAGACTGGCCGGATCTGAGGGTGTAGAAGGAATCCAGAGTGACTCCGGTTTCTGGTTTGGGCAGCCAGAGGGGGAAGCAGTCAGTCACTGAGAACAGAGACACGGGAAGGGAGAAGCAGGTTGGTGGGCAGGGCATGAGGGGTTATCCGGCAGAGATGATTTCAGTTTGGGGCACGTTCTTTTTGAGGCATCTATAGGATAAGCAAGTAAGACTGTTCCTTAGGCAGCGGATGAGTGGATCTGGAGCTCCTGAGAGAGGGGTGGCCTAGGGAAGTGGTTTTGGAAACGTTCATGACGTTAAGTGAAGTCGTCAAGAACAGATGAGATTGCTCAGGAGAATATATAGAATGAAGAGAGGGCTGAACTGGACAACTTTTCAGGGCGAGTTTTATGTACATTTTACCACAGTAAAAACGAAAACTCAGTGAGAGGGTTCAAGAGGGAACCCTGGAGAGAGTGGGTCAAGGAAGAGGAAGGTATACAGGAAACCAAGCAGGAGCAGCTGGAGAGGTGAAGAGGGAAAGGAGAGACGACAGATGCCAATGGAAAGAACATTCTGGGGAGGATGGTATAATTCAAAGTGTTGTCTGGTTCTGAAAGGACAAGGAACATAAGCGCTGGGATGTGTGTTGGATTTAGCCACAGGGACTCGGCGAATACAGCTGCAGTTTAGTGATGGGGAGATGGCCCATACTGTCAAGGGCGAGGGAATGAATGAGAAGTGAGAAAATGCAAACCTGTTTGAGTAGCTTGATGGTAGGGATACCGCTTGTGGTTAAGGGATGAGGCAGGGGCAAGGAATAGGGATTTTGTTTGTTGACGATGGGAGAGAACGGGGCATGTTTAAAATGGCCATGGGTGGGGCACTTGGGTGGTTTGAGTCGTTCAGCATCTGCCTTCGGTTCAGGTCATGATCTCGTAGTCCTGGGATTGAGCCCCGCATCAGGCTCCCTGCTCAGCGGGGAGCCTGCTTCTCCCTCTCCCATTCCCCCTGCTTGTGTTCCCTCTCTTGTTGTGTCTCTATTTGTCAAATAAATAAATAAAATCTTTAAAATAGATAGGTAGATAGATAATCGCTTCTCAGCCTTTTGGCTAAGATCAAGTGTAGATAGATAGGCAATTAAAATGGTGATGGAGGGGCGCTGGATGGCACAGTCCGTTAAGCATCCGACTCTTGGTTTCAGCTCAGGTCATGATCTCAGGGTCATGAGATCGAGCCCCATGTCAGGCTCCATGCTCAGTGCGTAGTCTGGTTGAGCCTCTCTCCCTCTGCCCCTCCTGCTCATGCTCTCTCTCATAAATACATCTTTAAAAATAAATAAAATGGTGATGAAACTGGGAACTGGGAGGTTGAAGACCCATCAGAGAGAGCACACTTAATGATGCAAGATCCCCAGGGAGATGAGAGGAAAAGGGGTTTAGGGCACAGGTGCAGGGACAACCGGATAAGAAAGACCCCTCCTTCACTTTTATAGGGAAGGGAAAAAGGATAGCTGGAGATCAGGAAGCTGGGAGTGCCCTTTTCCTTGTTAAAGATTTATTTATGGGGCACCTGGGCGGCTCAGGTGGTTAAGTGTCTGTCTTCAGTTCAGGTCATGATTCCAGGGTCCTGGGATTGAGCCCTACTTCGGGCTCTCTGCCCGGCGGGAGGCCTGCTTCTTCCTCTCCCACACCCCCTGCTTGTGTTCCCTCTCTCGCTGCCTCACTCTGTCAAATAAATAAATAAAATCTTCAAAATATATATAACTATTTATTTATTTATTTGAGAGAGAGTAGGGGGAGGGGCAGAGGGAGAGCATCTCCAGCAGCCTCCCTGCTGAGTGTGAGTGCAAGATCTTAGGGCCCATGACATCCGGGCCTGAGACACTTAGCTGACTGAACCACCCAAGCGCCCCAGGAGCTCCCTTCTGATCATGTGTACTCTTTGTGCAGATGCCCCTGATGATGGACACAGCCTCATTGTGGTTGTGTGTCCGTCATTAACACTTCGCTGAACCGCAGCCATTTTACTGGGGAAAATTCCTGCCCTGCCTGTAGGGCTAGTAGGAGGCTTACATGAGCTAGAGCAGGTGAGGACTTTGCCAGTCACGTACTTGATCAGTGTTGTTTTCCTTATCTACTCCCACGGATGTTACAGGTGCAAAATCCATGTCTGCCAGATGGCACGGGTCTGAGTTGCTTTAATGAGAGGAACCTGAGGCCCTCAAAGAGTTCGCACAGAGGCCGCGCCAGGTGGACATCAGCCTGACCTTCCCTGACTTTCACCTTCTCTTGGCAGGTGGGCACGAAGACTTTTCAAAGATGATCGATGAAGCTGAGCCCCTGGGCTACCCGGTCGTGGTGAAGAGCACTCGAGGACACCGGGGTCAGTGCCGCGCCTCCTGGCCTCCCTTGGGGCCGCTCCCCTGCTGGCCTCATCAGGCACAGCCCAGCGCTGCTTAGAGAAGTGGAGCGCCTCCTCGCGGGGCTCGCGGTGTCGTCTGTCCCCCGTTCCCTCCTTGCTGCCCCCACTGTCCTTGCTACCTCAGACCCTTCTCGTTCACTCCCTGGACTCCTGACTTGACTCTGAGTGGTCTCCCTAGCCCCTGCCAGTGCGTCCTCTTTTCTTAGGGAGTCATTTCTCTGAGACATCTGTCCTCCTCACTCCCTCACTAAAAAGCCCTTCCAAGAGCCTTGTTGCCTCTTAGACAAGGTCCGTGTTCCTCGCCATTGCCCTGAGGCCCGGTAGCTTCATCCTTCCTTTGCAGCCTTCTCTGGCCACGTGCACTCTCCGTCGTCCACTGTCGACTTCTTCACTAGCTAGACCACGTATTGTCTTTAAAGCTCTGCCTCTTCCCTTTGCTGGCAGTGCCATCTTCCTCTGGCCTCTGGTGAACCTCTGCTCCCCCATGAGGGCCTGCTGGCCTCCCCCTCCACTGTTGTTTCTTTCCGCTCCACGTGCCTGGTCCTCCTCCCTCCCCACCAGCTTTGCCTTTGTGTTTACGTGGTGCTCGGTCCAGGGCTCTAGCACAGCACTGCCCGTTATGACAGTTACAAGTGCATGCGCGTCTCCCCCTGGCTGGCAGGGCGCTGCTCAGGGGCGGGAATCCGGTCCGGGGCCTCTTGGTCCCGGGGACCTGCTGCAGAACTCGGTGCGGAGCAGGGACTGGTGATGGAGAGGAGCTCGCATGCAGCAGGAAGCTCTCCCGCAGCCTGGGGGCAGGTCCCCCGCCGCCCGATGCGACTTCCACGCTCAGGGCGTCTGCAGTGAGGGGAGGCCCCCAAAACAGACCCGTGCTGAGCAGTTCCTGTGCCGTAGGGACAGGGCAGTGAGATGAACTAGACTCGGTCCCTGCTCTCAGGGAGCTGCAGTGTGCGGGGAGTAGAGACGGTCGCGTCACAGGGCGATCACCTCCCTCGCAGGCTGGTCCAGCACCTGCTTGCCCTGGACAGAGGCCACAGGGCAGGGAAGGCCTCCCTGGAGAAGGAGGAGACTGAAGTTGGAGAGTGGAATTCAAACTGGAGGAAGTGAGTAAGCGAGCATATGGAGGCAGGTGGGAGCCAAAGGGTCCCGTTGAGGAGAGAGGAATGAGTTTGGGGGGCAAGGGGGGGCCCTTAATGCTATTCAGTAGATATGCTACAGTGCTGAAGTTCAATGTCTAATTTTTTTTTATTGTGCTAAAGTATACATAATTGAGAATTCAACTAATATTTATTGAGTGCCCACAGAGTGCCGGGCACTGTTGTAGGCCCTGGGGATACAGAAAGGAACAAAACAAAAACTGTCCTCAAGGAGCTCCCATTGTGGAAGGGTAAAACAGACAATAAATGGAAATTAAATAAATAAAATACGTGGTATTTTCAAACATTAAAAATTGAGGTGTAGGGGCGCCTGGTTGTCTCAGTCAGATAAGCATCTGACTCTTGATTTCGGCTCAGGTCATGATCTCAGGGTCATGACATTGAGTCCTGCATCAGGGTCGGTGCTGAGTGTGGAGCATGCTTAAGATTCTCTCTTTCCTTCTCTCCCTCTGCCCCTCCCACTCCCACTTGCTTGCTCTCTCTCTCTCTCTCTCTCTCAAAATAGAAAAATAAAAAAAATTTTAAAAATTGTGATGTAGGGGCGCCTGGGTGGCTCAGTGGGTTAAGCCGCTGCCTTCGGCTCAGGTCATGATCTCAGGGTCCTGGGATCGATTCCCGCATCGGGCTCTCTGCTCGGCAGGGAGCCTGCTTCCCCCTCTCTCTCTCTCTCTCTCTCTCTCTGCCTGCCTCTCTGTCTACTTGTGATCTCTCTCTGTCAAATAAATAAATAAAATCTTTAAAAAATAAAATAAAATAAAAATAAAAATTGTGATGTAATTCACATAACAAACAGTTCACCATTTTTAAGTGTACAGTTTAGTGGATTTTAGTATATTCACTATCGTGTCCGATCGTAGCCATTATCTAATTTCAGAATATTTTCATCCCCCCCAAAAAACCCCTGTACCTAATAGGGGCCAGTCGCACTTGCCTCCTCCCCTGGACCCTGGCAACCACCCATCTACTTTGTGTTTCTATGGATTTGCCTGTTTTGAACATTTCTTATCAGAGAATCGTCCAGTATGTGACCTTTTGTGTCTGGCTTCTTCTACTTAGCGTGATGTTTTCATGGGCCATCCATGTCGTGGTGTGGATCAGTTCTGCATTCCTTCTTATCCCTCCGTAATAACCTGTTGTATGGCTTGCCCACATTTTGTTTATCTGCTCGTTAGCTGGTGGACATCTGAGTTTTTTCCATTGCGGCTTTATCAATAATGCTGCTGTAAACATATGTTTTCTTTTCTCTCGGGTATCTACCTAAGCCTGGAATTGTGGGGTCCGATGGTAACCCTATGTTTAACCTCAGAGGAGCTGCCGCACTGTTTTCTACAATGGTTATGTCATTTTACGGGCCCACCAGCAATATATGAGGGTTCTGATTTCTCATCATTCTTAGTAATCCTTGTTTTATTCATTCACTCCTTTATTTATGATTGGGGTTTTTTTGGAGTACTAAATAAAACTTTTTTTTTTTTTTTTAAGATTTTATTTATTTATTTGAGACACATAGAACACAAATAGGGAGGCGGAGCAGAGGGTAAGGGAGAAGCAGTCTCCCTGCCGAGCAAGGAGCCTGATGCAGGGCTCACTCCCAGGACCCTGAGGTCATGACCTGAGCTAAAGGCAGCCACTTAAGTGACTGAGCCACCCAGGGCGCCCCTAAATAAAACTTTTTGACTGTATATATTTGAACATTTATAGCCTGAAAAGTGGGCAGGCCTAACTCTTAGAATATACATATATGAATGTCCTCTTTGCCTTGACAAATTAAGCAAATAGTCACCATACTTCTACCATAAAAGCAAGCCACAAGCCAAAATACATGTTTCCCAAGCATTAGTAATATAGGGGCTCACTTCATTTATTGATTTTTAAATGAATTCTTAAAATCTTTTTTGAGATCTGATTGGTTACAGTATAATGACTGAATGTATACATTGAAGAATGGTCAGCACAGTAAGTCTAGGTAACATCCATCACGTACAGAATCTTTTTCTTATGATGAGAATTTTTAGCAACTTGCGCATTTGTGTTTTGTTTTAATTCTCACCATCCCAGTGAGTGGAAGGAGGCATCTTACTGTGGTTTTGCTTTCTATTTCCCTAACGACTAGTGATGTCGAGCATCTTTTCATGTGGTTATTAGGCATTTGTAGATCTTTGGACAACTGTGTATATGATCCTTTGCCCACTTTTCAGTTGGGTTATTGGTGTTTTGATTGCTGAGGTTTGTTTTTCTGTTTAAAGATTTATTTATTTATTGGGGGGGAGGGGCAGAGGGAGAGAGAGAGTGGATTCCACACTGAGTGCAGAGCCCGCTCAGGACTCAGTCTCATAACCCTGAGATCAGAGTCTGAGCCAAAGCCTGGAAGAGCTGGATGGTCAACCAACTGCACCACCCAGGGGCCCCTTTTTTATTGCTGAGTTTTTTTTTTTTTTAAGATTTTATTTATTTATTTGACAGAGAAATCACAAGTAGGCAGAGCAGCAGCAGAGAGAGAGGTGGAAGCAGGCTCCCTGCTGAGCAGAGAGCCCGATGCGGGGGCTTGATCCCAGGACCCTGGGATCATGACCTGAGCCAAAGGCAGAGGCTTAACCCACTGAGCCACCCAGGTGCCCCTATTGCTGAGTTTTTAAGAGTTCATAACATAACGGACATAATTTGAACATGTTTCTTCCCCACCCTGTGTTGTCTTTTTACTTTCTTGATAGTGTCCTTGGATGTAGAGAAGGTTTTGATTTCAATGGAGTTCAATTCATCTGTATTTTTCCGGTGGCTTGTGTGTTTAGTTGTCATTTTGTGGCTACCTAATCCAAGGTCACACAGATTGATACTTAGGTTTCCTTGTGAGCCTTTTATAGTTTTAGCTCCTACTTTGGGTCTTTGATCCCTTTGGAGCTAATTTTTTTTTTTTTAAAGATTTTATTTATTTATTTGACAGAGAGAGATCATAAGTAGGCAGAGAGGCAGGCAGAGAGAGAGGAAGGGAAGCAGCCTCCCTGCTGAGCAGCGAGCCCGATGCGGGACTCGATCCCAGGACCCTGGGATCATGACGTGAGCCGAAGGCAGCGGCTTAACCCACTGAGCCACCCAGGCGCCCCAAGGAGCTAATTTTTTTATATGGCATGAGGCAGGGGTCCAGCTTCCTTCGTTTACGTGTGGATATCCAGTTTTCCCGGTATTATTTGTTAAAGACAATTCTTTTCTTGATGGGATGCCTTTATAACTCTCGTCAAAAAGGCCCTGACCTCTCTGTGAGGCTCTGCTCTGGGCTCTCAGTTCTATTCCATTGATCCATGTGTCAACCCTCCTATGCCAGGCCACACTGTCTTCATGACTGTAACTTTGCAGTAAGTTTTGCAGTTGGGAAGTTGGACTCCCAACTTTGTCCTTTTACTCTTTTTTTCAAGATTGTGTTGGATATTTGGGATCCTTGCCTTTCCGTATGAATTTTACAGTATAATGTAAAATCTGCTTGTCAACTTCTGCAAAAAAGGAAGTCAGACTTTTGGTGGGGACTGTGTCAGATCTGTAGATCAGTTGAAGTGTTGCTGTCTTAACAATATTAAGTCCTCTGGTCCCTGAACAGGGGCTTCTTTCCATTTATTTAGCTCTTTAATTCTCTCAGAAATGTTTTTTGTTTTTTTCTTTTTTTTAAGAAGCAGCTTTTTTTTTTTTAAGATTTTATTTATTTATTTATTTGACACAGAGAGAGAGAGAGAGAGAGAAATCACAAGTAGGCAGAGAAGCAGGCAGAGAGAGAGGGGGAAGCAGGCTCCCCGCTGAGCAGAGAGCCCGATGTGGGGCTCCATTCCAGGACCCTGAGATCATGACCTGAGCCAAAGGCAGGCAGAGGCTTAACCCACTGAGCCACCCAGGTGCCCCATCTCAGAAATGTTTTATAGTTTTCAGTAATAAGTCTTGTTCTTCTTTGGTTAAATTTATTCCTAATGTTTTTGTTCCTTTTTGATACGCTGGTAAATGGGATTGTGTTCTTAATTTCGTTTTCAGGTTATTCATCACTGGTGTAACATGTCGTATCTTAGGGAAAATGGACGGGGAGTAGACAAATGATAGCGGTAGTTAGACCCTAGTATATGGAAATAAATCTAAAGAAAGCAGTGGAATGGTAGAGCTCTGCCACTGAGAAAGCTACTAATCTTGTAGACTTTTATTTCGCTCTACTGTAAAACAAAAATAACTATCCTGTCCTAATGGCTTCTTAGGGCTAGTATGAGGTGTAAATGAAATAATGAGAAAACAATGTGTTTGGCCCAGGGTGGATGATTAATCTTGGTCCTCTTTCCCACCCTCCCCCCCCTTTTCCTCTGTGCCTGAAAACTATAGCTCCTTTATTAATTTTTTAAAAGATTTTATTTATTTATTTGACACAGAGAGAGAGCACAAGCAGGGGGAGCAGCAGGCTCCCAGCCTGAGGGAGAGAGGGAAGCAGGCTCCCAGCTGAGCAAGGAGCCTGGCGCAGGACTCGATCCCAGGACCCTGGGATTATGACCTGAGCCGAAGGCAGCTGCCTAACCAGCTGAGCCACCCAGGCATCCCACTAAAGCTCCTTTAGTAACTGCAGACTAAACCTGCCACCTGCCAGGAACCAAGGAACCAAGTCCCTGTATCAAGCCCCCATCTCTGTGAAAATCGTACCTAATGTCCAGGGAACCCCCAGGGCCCATACTTGAATCCCAGCCATCTGTGGTCAGATGCCAGATCTCCTGGTGCCAAGTGTGCAGTGATGGAGACATGTGTTAGAGGTTACTTCTCAGTCTTCTGTACCACTAGATGCTGATACTCATCACTCTTGTTACTAAGACTTCAGAAGGGTCCCACTCCTTTTAGTGTGGTGACACAAATCTTAGGAAAACCTTCTCTTTGTTCCATAACAGGAAGGCACAGACTGGGTGTGCTCATGTCGGATTTGCAGAGCAAACCTCTGAGGAAGTCCTGCTCCGATCTGTCAGCTAATATGCAAATGGGAAAGCAGATGTTAAGTAATGATAAAAGCACTGGTGATTCAAGCAGAAAAGAGAGGATTTGGAGTCAAGCAGGAATTCTATCTCCAGAGAGCAATAGAAGTATAGATCATTCCATTTAGAATTAAAACAGGTATAGCCAGATAGTTTTCTTACACTTTAGAGGAGGAGGGAGTCTGTCGGGGGCTCCCTCTTTGAACCCCATAGTGTTGGCATAGATCTCTGTTAATGTTCTATCATGCTGTATTAGGGTTCCCTTTTGTGGGTCTCTCTCTGCCTAGCCTTAGAATTCCTCTAAGTGTGTTCAGTTAATTATGTTCTGTAAACATGGATTGACACCTCCTTTGTTCTTCGAGCCCGATGTGAGGTTTGAGGGATTAACAAAGTGGGTTAGAGACGGACTCTGCCTCATCAGCATCCTGGAGTGATAGGAGATGCTGACTGCTTTTGGAACTGAGCTGACTAGATCCTCAGGATTTTATTTTGGCCTTGCCTCTGTGTTTCTGGAATAACCTCATTATTCCATCCTGAAAAAAAAGGGTTGTGGTGAGGGGAGAGAGGGACGTGAGTAAAACCAAGAGAAAACAAGGTTCCGCGGCCATTTGGTAAGAACCAAGAGTCTGGTCAGAGAAACAGAAGGGGCCGAGGAAAGGCAGGTTCAGAAAGAACCGAGAGCTGTGTGGGACAGGGAGACGGGAGGGCAAGGACTCGCCTCAAAGGCTTCTCTGACTACTCCTCTTGCTCTTTATCTTTCTTTTTAAAGGAAAAGCTGTTTTTCTTGCCAGAGATAAACATCACCTCTCGGACATCTGCCATCTGATCCGCCATGATGTGCCCTACCTGTTCCAGAAGTATGTGAAGGAGTCACATGGCAAAGACATCCGGGTGGTGGTGGTAGGGGGCCGGGTGATAGGCTCCATGCTTCGCTGCTCCACTGATGGACGGATGCAGAGCAACTGCTCACTCGGTAAGGGACAAAAGCTCTCAGTCCATTTCCTCACTACGATTTTTCCTTAGGGTATTTGCACCCGTTCGGTACATGTGGATCGAGCCCTCCTATCTTGTCAAACCCTCTGCTAGGCTCCAGGATCACAGATAAGGATTAGAAACAAGCCCTGTCCTGTCACAGCAAGTAGCCCAGGAAGGGGACAGATGGGTGTAGTGCTGTGACCGAGGTCAGGCCTAGGTATTAGGGCACTGAGATGGAACCCTCTCGGGTAGGGGTTGGAACTCAGCAGTTGGGTTTCACCCAGGGAGTGACATGAGGATCCATGTTCGAGAAAAACCGACACGTGGGTAGAGAAGGGACTGAAGGCAGAGACAAGGCGGAGGAGTTCGGAAGATTTTTACAGTTGCTCGGGCAGGAGGTAATGACCGTCTGCACTGAGGCAGTGGCAGAAGGCAGAGCGCATTCTGCTTTTGCGTTGTCATCGAGGATTGGGTTTTCCTTACATGTTTGATACAGTGAGAAAGCTGCAGTTTATGTTTGGATCAGAAGCATAACCCCATCTCATGAACCTGTTGTTCACCTTGTTTTCTGTCGTGGTGAATGGAGACATTGCAGGAGGGATGTAAATTCTTGTCCCCATCACAGAAAGCTTCCGTCCTCCTCACTGAATGAATGTGTCTGTTGGTAATACGATAAAACACATGCCCAGGGTTAGATCCTAACTGGCCCTGTGGGTGTACCAAGGCTAGTGAGGAACAGAGGCTGAGACGCAGTTCAGTCCTTCCTTCTCGAATACCGGTCGAGAGCAGTCGCCACCAATGGACTCCATGAGAGTGCACTTAACAGAGAGAGTCCCTGCCCTGGGACAGCTGCGGTCCCACAGAGGACAAGACCCGAAAGCAGGTCATTGCAAGACACCGTGATGTAGTGTCATGATGGGGGCAGATGCCACGCTCAGGCTGACACAGTGATGTCCTTTCCAACATCTCCTTTTCGTGTGTGGTACCACCCCATGGAACCTGGTGTTTTATGTTGTCTTTTTTAGTCACCATATGATATGCATTCTTTAACGAGGTAGGAACCAGATGGTTTTGCCATTTATCCTTGTTGCTTTTCCTGGTGAGCTAGTCTGAAACTCTTTTATAGCCTTTTCCTTATGCATTCGAACGGGTGGGGAAGGGACCTGTTAAGGTGAAGGCATTAGTTGTTGGACCTTAGAATATAGGTCTTAAGTCCTTCCAAGGAGACTATTGAACCTGAGGTTAGCTCTGTCGTAGGTGAGGGTAGTCAGACTCTCTGTCTTTGGCATAGGATTTTGTCTCACAAGCCTTTCCATCCCCCTCTTCCTAAAACATAATGTTAATTTTTTTTCAGATTTTTTTTTTTTGAGGTGGTGGGGAGGGGCAGAGGGAGAGAGAGAGAGAGAATCCCAGGCAGATTCCATGCTGAGCATGGAGCCTGACATGGGGCTCAGTCCCACAACCCAGAGATCTGACCTGAGCTGAATTCAAGAGTCGGACGCTTTACTGACTGAGCCAACCAGGCACCCCAACGTAATGTTAATTTTGCTTTTTCTGTACAAAAGGAATCCATTTTCACATAGAAAATTTGGAGAACATGGCAAAGTCCAATGAAAAAAACACTTATCATTAATCCCACCCTTTAAAGACAGGCTTTGTTAACATTTGTGTATTGTTCTTTCCGGCAAGAACTTTTGCACAGTTGTGGTCATGCTGCAGAGTCTTAAATCCTTCCAAGTATTTTTCCATGGGATCACCAGTGCTCTACGAGCATTATTATTCATGATTGTAAAAGATGCTGCTTTCCTCTGTTGCGAGAGATTTGTGGTTTTTCATTTACTTACCAACAAATGTTTAGTGAGTGCCTATTATGTCTTGAGATTTTGATTTTCCAGTATTTTAAATAACCCTGCCATCAACATCTTGGTGCATAAAGCTTTTTTCCATTACATAAGATTATTTCCTTAGTGGTAGGTCAGAGGAAATAAACATTTTAAAAACTCTTAGATAAGAAATGGCCCTATTGTCTTCCCAAAGGGCGTCCTGATTTCCAAGCAGATCTTCTGTGAGTAATAAGAATGGCTGTCTCCCTGCCCCCTCTCCGTATGGCCCCGTCTCTTCTTTGAAGGGTCATCATGTCCCTGGTGTTTGACGTCACCATTATGTCACTGTGCATTCCCCACAGGCGGTGTGGGTGTCATGTGCCCGCTGACAGAGCAAGGCAAGCAGCTGGCTGTTCAGGTGTCCAACATCCTGGGCATGGACTTCTGTGGCATCGATCTCCTCATCATGGACGACGGCTCCTTTGTGGTGTGTGAGGCGAACGCCAATGTCGGCTTCCTAGCCTTCGACCAGGCGTGCAATTTAGATGTGGGTGGCATCATCGCAGACTACACCATGTCCTTGCTGCCCAATAGGCAGACTGGCAAGATGGCCGTCCTCCCAGGACTGTCCTGTCCCAGGGAGAAGAAAGACCCAGATGGCTGCGCTTCAGCTCAGGGAGTTGCAGAGAGCGTCTACGCCATCAACAATGGGTCTACCTCTAGTGAGAGTGAGCCTGAACTGGGAGAGATCCGGGATTCCTCAGTGAGCACAACGGGGGCCCCGCCCCCCATGCTGCCCGAAGCCGGCTACAACATTAACAACAGGATTGCTTCCGAATTAAAACTTAAGTGAATTCCTGCTTTTTGGCAGCATTTAAACCAAATCCTACTGCTTCCCTATAGTTTTGAGTGAATAAAATCTGGACTAATGTGATTTCATTTGCACAGAAACTAGAAAATCCCATCTGGGCACTCAGCATTCTTTCTAACGATGATTTAAGCGAACGGCTTAGCTTTGTGGTTTTTACAGAGACTAAAAAAACACTCACCAAGAGCAACATCCCGAGCTGTCGGCTGGAGACCGAGGTCTGCCGCGAGCACTTGGATGCTACGGCTGCCTCTGAAGGCGCTGACTGTGCTGCTGCCTCTGGCTGTTACCAGCAGAGCCCAAAAACTCAGAACGGGTCCCGGAAGCGCTGCACTCAGGAGCCATCACCCGGTGGAGGGGGGTGCAGAAGAGACGCAACGCGACTGCGCTAACGAGCTCTTCACCAAGTGTGTGTGTGTGTGTGTGATGCTTGAAGAATACGCAGTTCAGTCTCTGCTCCCTGTCAAATCACCATCTTGGCCATATTTCTCTGACACTCAGGATATGGTGTTTTAGGGAGCTTCCTCATTAGCATTTTCGATGAAGCACTTTGTAGAAAGTTTGAGAACGAGCATTATCTGACGTCACCGGTTGGCAGATCTCCTGCTGCGGAACTGGGGCTTTCTACAAATTGCTTTGCCACGCCGAACTTATAGACCCTGCTTCAACTAATGCCAGCCCCAGCAGCCTCTTGCACCTTTGCTGCCTTTGGCCTCAGCTGGAAATGCACTTCAGTGAGCTAGTGGCCACACACTTTATTTCTTACGCGTGCACTAGAATCGAATGCCATGAACTTTCTTGTCAGTGGACTCTGTTCATTTGTCATCCAGAAGCCGGTGGGTTTTTAATCACAGAAAACTACTGGAAGATAATCATTTCCCCCTTCTCTCCTAAACTTTGCGTACTGCTTAGCTCTAGAAGGTTTCCTTGAATGCATTGGTGTAGTGGGCCTGTTGGGTAGATAGAGCCATTGGAAACACACTCTAATCGCCTTGACATTCTAGTCCTGGCCAGGTTCCTGAGACCTGTCTTTACCCACTTTTTCCATACTGGGGAGACTCAGGAATTACTCACTGCACCTTCAGGGGGAGGGCGGTTGGATAACGTAGGCGGGACACCAAGTGCTTTTCATTTTAACTGTTTAAGCAGTAGATAATGATCCTTCCCTTGGGTGACATCGTGGAGATGGAGTTTTCCATTTCTGCCTATGTGAAGTATAAGAATGAGCAAGACTCCCTTTTCAACCAAATACACTAAAATGTAAGCACTCAAGAGTTACCATAATCCTTGTCATTTCCTCAGGAGACTATACTCTTGAGCTGTGATGTTGCATGTGCCCAGGACAGATAGAAGTCCTCTTTGGAATTATCTCTGAGGTCTTGCAAGGCAAGAGGCCTCACAGCCTTATAATCAGACTTCAGTTCTCACACCAACCCTCCCCAGAGGTGGTCCCAAACTCTGTCATCCTTTTTATTTTTCAGACTTACCTTCTAATGCTCTTTGGCTATTAAAAAAAAAAAAAAATCATCCCTCAAAAAATAAGTCTACCCATAAAGGATAACAATGAGAAAGCATACAAGTGGACAGTTTCCAAGGAAGGCTGTAGAGATAGTCACGGACTAAACGTCCATCTTCCCCAGGTGACTAGTTTGAAGGCAGCAACACCCATTTGGGTGTATAAATTCCTGTATTTACTCTGCTATAAGTATAAAATGTGTATAAAGTCAAAACTATTAACATTTTTTTTTCACAACACATTTAAATAGAAATTGGCTTTTAAAATACTGTGGCTAAAAGCACATCTCACCAAGTAACACTTAGACAATTGAAAAACTTTCGGCTCCATGTCCTGGAGATACCGCCCTACACAATTGTAGTTCAGATGCTCCAACATAGGGTGCATGCCACTCAGTTGTAACTCTAGTAATGTGTCTTGTACAGTTGACAAATAATAATACTTCACTTTTATGCAGGTTAAGACCTTTATTTACCTTACCTCTACCACTCAGGGTGGGTTTAGAAGGATAGTTCTAGGTCTGTTCTTGTTGGAATTGTCCGAATACTTTCTGTGTAAACATCTGAACCAAGTGATGACCTTCTGGAAGCTGCATTCACTCATTCCCACTGTTGAGTGTAAGCCCAGTCTCCCCACTTGATCTAAAAGAACACTAGAAGGCCCTGTCCTGAATGGAGCACCGAGAGGGTGCTTCCGGATTGACTTGTCAAAGGGGCCCGTCTTCCAGCCGCTGGTGACATCTATAGTCATTGGCACCATTGCTTGAAATCTATCCCAGCCCGGAAGCAGAGATAGCTAGATCACACCTGGATCACAGCTCCCGCTTCCCTACACACCTGCCTCCCCCTGGATTTCCCAGACCGGCCATGGGCCCTGTGAGCCTTGGTCATGGGTCTAGGCCACACTCATTCCAGCTGTCTGCAAGGCCTGCTGCTGGAAGGAACATGGGACACAGAGCCAGTTCCTGGTTCTGGCTCTCCCCTTAAAGAGCTGACAACCTTGCACAATCCCGGAGGCTCTGCCTCCCATTTTTCCCCTTCTATTAGGGGAGATGGCTGTTTACCTCTTGAGGGTGCTTTGAGCTTGAAGTGAGTTGATCAATGAGACTGTGCACCATGCAGGAGGTAGTAGAAGAACACCTCCCACATCTGGTTTTGTAAGTTTCTCATCATCCCTCTTCTGAGGGAGTCAAGGGCCATGAGTTCTTGGCATCAGCACAGTAAACAGTGGTAGGGGAGCCTGAAAAAAGGATGCAGCTTCTCAGAGAGCTTTACCACCTGGAAGGAGTAAGGCTCTCAGTGTATCCACATAGCCTTCTGGATGTATCTGAACCTGAACCTGAAACTCCTGACTCTCCTATACCAACTAACAGTCTTCCTTAATGTAACATAAATTGCAGTGTCTGTATACGGTCTTCCCATTACCTGATAGTAGCATCTTGAAACTGGTCAAAACTTGAATGCCAATAGCTCCATCACTCAGAATATATATGATTCTGCACTTGGGAAAAACGTCTTCATGCTATCTGATTGCTGCGGGGTACGGTTTTTCGAGAATGTGGGTCTGGGGCTTTAGGTCTTCAAAACCTGATAAAACAGTGAAAGTGGATTATAAGCTCTTAACCACCACCATGGCAGACTCCTTGCTCCCAGCTAACGGGAGTCGGTGACAACTGCAGATGGGGCGAGGAGGAAAGGGAAGGAGACAGGTCTTGGGGTAGTTTTGTGACATTTCAGGGGAAGAAATAAGAAATTGGAATCGTTTGAAATTCCGGGGAGAAGGAAGAAGAAATGGCTCTTCTTGGGGTTGTTTAAACGAAAGAATGATGCACACGTATTCATTAGAGGAAGGGTTCCTTGAAACTATAAAGAAAATGAACGACATGGATTCTCATTAGCTTTGGGGAAGAAGGAGAGACATGCCTTGGCCCTTCCTTAAGTCCTGACGAATGCTGGCCCTGATGCAAGTCCAGGGAGATGGAGGTGACTTGCTGGGGGCTCCAAGGTCCCCCAGGTAACAGCTGGTCCTTCTGCAGAAAACCGTAGGCAGGCAGGCCTGGAGCCGCAGTACCCTCAGGTGGGTCTGAGGAGCCACGGCCGAGTGAACCCGAAGCCGGCACAACAGGGCACCTCGGCTGAATGCTTCCCTTTGCCCCCGCAGCTGAAGCTTCTCTTTGCTGTCAGTCTCTGCAGGTGTCTGGGGATGAGCCCTGACAACAGTCATCTTTGTCACCGTCCCTGAAACTCGTGTCCTTCTGTCTGCTGCTACAGGCTAATAGCAAACCTTGTACTGTTCTGACTTTCTCTGCGACTCGAGATCAGATCATGACTTTAAAATGCTTTTTACCTGGAAGGCAGCCTCCCTACCCGCCCCCCCCACCCAAACTCAGGAATATGTTGTTGGAATTGTTCCTGAAAACCATATTATGCTTCCACTCCAAGTCTCAGGCCAGACCCTGCAGCCCTCCCTTCTAAAACACACAGCTGAGTGCAACTTTGTTCCTTCAAGCTTTTCAGCTTCCTTCTCCTGGTGTGGTTCCCATGCCGACATGTGGCACTCTCCTGGGCCCTGTGCTGGTGTCCCCACCCTGTCTGGTAGTCTCAGTGCGCCATTTGGTTCACTGTGGCTCCGAGGCAACACTGAGAACGTCACCCAACAAGTCAGAATTTTTTTTTTTTTAAGATTTTATTTATTTGGGAGAGATGGAGAGAGCATGGGCAGTGGGGTGGGGCAGAGGGAGAGAGAGAAGCAGACTCCCCACTGAGCAGGGACCCTGGGATCATGACCTGAGCCCAAGGCAGAAGCTTAACCAACTGAACCACCCAGGTACCCCATCAAGCCAGATTTGAGGACACAGGAGTAACAGCACTGTGGACACCAGTTCAGTCCCCATTTTATAGATGGAGGATCTGAATCCTAGAGGCCAAGGTCACTTAGCTAGTCCACAGTGGCGCTGGGATGCGGGCAGTCCCTTTTCCCATTCTGGTTTAGCAAACTGCCCGAGGTGGCTGTGTTCTTAAGTGGTGCTTAGCACTTGCCTTCATCCGGGACTCACCCTCTGCCCTTTTTCCTGCCCAGCCTCTCTGGATCCACGTGGTGTTGATGGGCCGGCTCTGTAGGCTTCATCTCTCGGATGGCTTTAAGTGAGAGCCCTGGAGGCGTATGTGAGATTTCCAGGGTGCAAGCTGGCATATGGCTGGGCCTTCAGACCCGCCAAGACCGTTTAGCCCCAGCTCACCCGATCCGTGCTCAATGAGAGGGGGAAGGCCCCTGCCGAGCTGGCTGAAGGCTCCTGTGGCTGACATTTCCCCACTGTGGAATGTCTTGGATGTGTGGAGGACTCTGTGGGCTTCCACGGAGGTCAAGGGCTTGAAGGCCCCAAACTTCTCCCACTGGGCACTCCAGCAGGGGGTCCTGATTGAGGCCCATGTTCCAGTGGCCGTGAGCCACAAAGTCCAAAGTGTCCTCCCACTTCAGTTCTGCAGCACGTACACCTGCGGCCAGCCACTAGGCCAGATTCTTCCCTCCTGTAGCCCATACGTCAGCCGGGGCCCACGGAGCCCCTGAGATCCAGGCATGTCTGATAACTGGGACTTTGGATGTCTGTGATCTCCAAGGCGCTGATACTTGGGCAGCCACAGCTGACGCCAGACTTCTGCTACCTCAGTTTAAGCCCTGATGGGGTCTCCTCCCTGCAGTCCATCAACGACACGAAGCTTAGTTCTCTCCCATTTCCACACACCACGAAATTCAAATGCGCCCATGTGTGTGGGCACATGTGTGTTGCAGTGATGTGGGAAGAGAGAGAAATTACAGAAATGCAGACACGGCACCCCCTAAAGTGTTCTTTGGATACACCACCAAGGAGCCCATCACCTCGCACCCCACCTGTCGCCCTGTTTGGGACAAACCAAATCCACTGACGTTCTCCTTTGTAGCAGCATGGCCAGTCCTTTCCTAGCTTGAGTCCTGCCAATGCCCTTACCTTCGAGATTTCCCCTTCCCCAATGGGTGGCTTATTAAAAGCATTTTCCTAAACAAAGATGGCTCCCTCAAGAGGAACTCCAGCGTCATCTCTCAAGGTGTTACATTTTTGACTCGCGCTACGTTACCCAGGCACAGCAGCAACTAGAGTCCCTGCCGCCAGGGTCTTCACGCTCCGTGGCAGGCAACACGGGCTAGCGTCAATAA